TCTTGTACTTCTACTGTATCCGCAGAGCCTAACTGATAAGGTCCTTGTACTTTACTGTATTTGCAGAGCCTAACTAGTGATGCCTTTTGCTATTACTGTAGCCTCAGAGCTAATTGCTACATAAACAAGGTCTTTGCAGTTATGAATTCTAATTTTACTTATCAATAATTCTGTCTAACAAACTAGCTGTTTAGTATTAAATTGATTGCTAAGTCACTGCAAAATAGGCAGGATAGATGGACGATAGAGTCTACAAAGTGAACAATAGCAAAGAGAAAGACAACCTCTCTCTGCACCCTTGAATATATTGTATAGTATTTACAAGCATGCCCCTTTCTTTCGCTTTATTGATTTCATATTGAACTAATATGATAATACTCTCTTACTACATATCAGTTACTATACTACTAATAAAAAACCTGTATCTAGCAATGCAGTAGTCATTACAAAAAACATCTTATAAAAAGTTAAAGCCATCATGCATAAGAAAATTAATCTCCAAAAATTAGTATCATAAGAAAAATGTGATCTGCACAAACGCATAATCCAATCAGCTTTAAGATTTTGCCTTTGGTTTATTTGCCATTAAACTATACACTTCATTTACACTACGTTCATGTTATATGCTTTTTTTATTATTGCTCTTCGGAATTGAACTACCATATATGAATTGTACGAACTGTTTTCTAGAGGTTAACAGCTTATCCGAAGCTGGGTAAGAATTTTTTTAAAAATTATATCAGGTTTGATCAGGTTTTACGAGGCAATAAACAGAACCCGAATCTGACCTGATACTCTAATAGGCCCGACCCGACCCTGACCTGATTTAATAACAGGTCTATAATTTGAACCTGCTTGAACCTGACCATAACCCAACACGTAAAATTTTGGGTCAAACCAAACCCATCCTATACCCTATCTACAATACTATTAATTTTTTTTTGTTTGTAGATAAAGCATACAAAAAATTTGCATTATAGCTATTTTGTTTTTTTTGATACAATTGTGTTACCAATATTTGATAGCACGAATGTTTCACAATAAAGTTTTAAATTTATTTCCTTGAGCATATTTCATAGAGTTGCATTTTTTGCTGGTACTCTTGTACAGAATTTTTTTATTCTTTGTTTAGCAGTATATGCCCAAAAAATGTAAATAACAATAACAATTTTGATAATTGATTTTTATTGTGATTTCATTAAAGCAATGATTTTCTCTGCAATAGATAAATTATTCAAGGTTTTGATAAACTAATACAATTAAGTTGCACAAGCTCATTAAGCTTATTGATATAACAATCTGAATTAGTCTAATAACTTTTGAATTTTACATTAATATGTGGGTTTAACTAGTAATCCTAATTGACTATCAGAAATTTTAAAATTTTTAGCTCATTATATTCAGAATAATTTATAGTGCGTAATCTGAACATTTTTTTGCCATGCTAGGTAGTATAAGATATAGTAATTATAATAATTTTTTTAATAAGTTCGATCTCTAGAAGTCTAAAAAAAAATACATATACAAATACACAAACCATTATAAATTAGAACTACTAGAAATTTCTTATTTTTCTAGTTTTATATCTATTTAATTAATATACAATACTATTCATTATCATAATCATCATTAATAGACCATATTGTTTCTTATTAGAATGACCAAGTTGCAGACTGGTCAGGGAAGTTATAGTTACCAATTGCAGATTTATCTTTGTTAAACCAATCAAACAATAGAATATAGTTTTCACAGATAATAATACCAAATATTAACAGAAACAATCTTGAAATTAAATATACAAAAATAAATATGGATGATAATGATGAAAGTAGAAGTCATAATGGCAAGAGAAAAAAAGTTCAAACAACATGACAGGCAAAATGAAGGAAGAAGAAATCATTAATACGCTCAATTAAAATTTGAGTATACGCGAACAAAGCACAAAAAGATTTATTAAAACAATGGATAGGTTGTACATGACTTGTCTATAACATGGTTGTTGCTAATTATAGACATAATCACTATATAAATAAATAGTTCTTTTTTCGCATTTTCCTTAAACACCATATCAAAACAACAAAAGAGTAGGCTTTTATAGAAAAAGTTCTTTATAAAGTACTAGATCATTCTATTACAAGTATGATTTTAGCTCGTGATGAAGTTATATGACACGATAGTAAATTGCGAAAACAAGGTCAACTACTAAATCACAAATTACACTTTATTTCAAAAAAGGTAATTATTTTGAGCTAATTGTCATTATGATTATATATTTTATTATTCATTCATATTATTTATTATTTGAAGAGCGAACAACAAATAATATCTATCCAAGCTTATTATTGTTGTGAGCTACTTCATTTTTATTTATAGCTCTTGCATAACAAAAAATCTATTCAAACTGATCCTGAGTATCTACAATATAAATCTAATAATATAAAGCCACCACTTCATCATGAACACCAACAGAAAAATAATAGTTGGCCAAATCAAGAGGAAAACGTGATTTTAGATTTAAAATTATCATATAATATAAAATTAAGACACTAGACCTTTATCTGGGTTTATAGCAAGGATATCTGTGAAAACCAAGCAGATCATATCCATGTAGCAGCTATAGATCCTGCTGTCTATACTTTTCTTACTTGGTATTCACTAACAGTAGGTCATGGAAATATTAGTAACAATGATATTAATCATATTTTTCGTCTAGTACTTGTTCTTGATGATCTTATTTTACGCACCTCTAAGGTGCTAGCAAAAAAATGTAACTCTATGAAACGTGCTCAAGCATGTTTAAAAAACAAATTCAAAACTTAATAAATGAGGTATATAAAAAAACAGCATTATGGTTAGCCCGTACTTTTGATATAATTGTGTTATCCATATTTGATAGCACACAAATGTCTTGTCGACAAAAAAGAAATTCAATAGTAAGACAGTACAAAAGATGATGAGTTGGGAATATGCTAGATTTAGGAATCAATTGATTTCTAAAAGAAAGAATTTGGCAAAATTGTAATAATATCTGTTTCAGAAGCATATACAAGTAAAACATGCAGTCATTGCAGACATATTTAAAAAAATTTAAGAAAAAATAAAAAGTTTAAATGTGACAGGTGTGGGCTTTAAATTGGTAGAGACTTAAGTGGCATCTGGGAGATTTTACTTCAGGCTTTGCTTGATAGGGCCATAGTTATGAAAACATAGCTATGCTAATTGATTGATTATATAGTTAATAGTTTTAATTATGTAATTAGTTGATTTAATCTATCCAAAGATGTTTATACTATTAATATTACTCTTCTACGAAAAAGATACAATTGTATTTGTTTGTGATACAAATATAGAAAATATAGTCAATAAGAAATTTGAAAACTTTGAAAATAATACGCTTTTTTGTTGGACAAAAAATGAAATACTATTATTGATTTTCTTAAAAAAAAGTTTTACTATTATTATATAAGGTCTAAAAATTTATTAAAAGATGACAACAGTATACAGGAATCATTTGTAAGATTTATGAAAGAAAAAAATAGAGATATTACTTTCATTCATAATTTTAAGAAATATATAGCAAAATTTTTGAATATGTTATATATGTACGTACGTACATATATATATGCTTTCTCTACCACAATTAATAACCATTAAAACAAGTAGAATATAGGTGACTAGATTATTTATACAATATATAATAAATCAGCCAATTGTATTATTTAAAAAATTCACTATACAAATCTACTATGCAAATCTACTATAGTACTACAAATAGGGTTAATTTAATTAGCTGACCAAAAACCTAGTGCACAAATAACTAATTCCTTTAATTTAATGAATATCTGATTCAATATACGTCATTTTAACAGCTTTATAATAGTGCTGGCCTGATGCCAATATGCCTAGTTGTTAACTATTAAATTATTACAGTTTAAAGTGAATTGTTGGAAAATATCAGTACTAATAAATATTATTAAAAATGCTGGCAATGTAAATAATACACAAATTTTATTGGCAATTAATATCAATACTTTAATGTGTTAAATTAAAATTTTTAGACTCAATTATCTAATGCTGTAATGTTATTGAGGTCAATCAAGAGAATAAAGAATTGTCAGAAATATAATAAAAGTATTTGATTTACTGTATATGAATTAACTATTTTAATCAATTATTTATTTAATTGAAGATTACTGTAATTTTCTGCTAATACGTGTAATATAGTTATTTTTGTAAATATACTAGTAGAGAACAAAAATTTCAAAATTAATATATTCATCCACACACCTTAGATGTTAATATATTAGTTAATATTTTATCAAATAAAAACTTAGTGGTGAACAAGTATTTAAATTTACTAATAAGATTAAATAAGCTTTTCATCAAGATATTACTAAAGCACTTAACGAACATTTCAAAACACATAAACAATATAAACAGTAGTTGAATAATGTCAGTGATAAAATTAATATCATTGATTCAAAATCATACAAAAACCTGATCACATTTTATACTATACGGAATCATCACAATCTGGCTTTGAATTTGCAAAAAAATTTAAAAATATATCCAAAGGTACTATATTATATGGTGAAGTGTCATATGAATTATCTAAAGCTTTAATATTATCGTCTAATAATCTCTCAATGCAAGAGAGTGAATTTGAAGAAATCAATGATGACAACACTAATACCGAAGCAAAAAATTTTGTTTATTGATGCATTTTATAAGGGTTTATATGTAAATGCGATTGTTTGGTTAAAGAAAGTATTTGATATAGATATCAAATTAGAGTTTAAAAGTAAATAGTGTAATAAAACAATCAAATCAAATAAATGTTTTATATATATGCTAGAATATTAATATTATTAGAATCTAATTTTGACGAAGACAGAACACAAAAAGTAATGAATATACTTTATCATAGTATCAAGAACAATCTATGTAATCTCGATAGTAGTTGTATTTATATTTTGTATAATATACTTGAAAAGTATTATATGGGACCAGAAGATTCATACATGATGCAAAACAAAGGATATATTAAAGAATTATTTGAAAGTTATTTTTCAACTACTAATACAACTTCTTTACCAAGTCTGAATACAAAAACCTTGGAAAAACTCAAAAAGAATCATGATGATAAAATGAATATTATTAATGATGGAACTACAAGAGCGATAAGTGAAATGTTGGTTGTTAAAAAAAATATGATACAAATGATAATTATGAATTATAATAAGTTTATAACAGGAAACTATTGTTTTAAAATAAACTACAGTTTATTTATAATACATAAAAGTTTTTAGTTCATCCCAAGGAGAGCTAATTCATAATTAATTAATATAATTAAATAATTCATAATATTTCAATAGAATCAATTTTATAATTAATTTTAAAATTAAAATTCTCAGTGAAACAATGCAAACTCTGAAGATTTTATATATAATATTCATATATTCTGGTTCAGTTATCCTAAAAATATTTAAATCATTATACTAACTATACTAAAAGTGATGTTCGACTATTCATATGTACTCAATATATCAAATCAATTAGGTCAAAAAAGAGTAAGCATAGATTTATATATCCTCAATTTATTAAACAAAAATTGTTTTAATATTGTTAGTACAGAAACAATATATTCTAGTCTTACCTTATATTCAATTGTTAAAATCACTTATCAAAAGTTTTTCTATTATCTTATTATCTGGAATCATGCAACAACCTTTAATGATGAAGATGTTTATACTATTAATAATATGTTACTCTTCTATGAAAAAGATACAATTATATTTGTTTGTGATGCAAATCTAGAAAATATAGTCAATAAGAAATTTAAAAACTTTGAAACAAATTTTGCAGCAAATAATACTTCTTTTTGTTGGACAAAAAATGAAAATACTATTATTGATTTTCTTAAAGAAAAGTTTTACTATTATTATATAAGGTCTAAAACTTTATTAAAAGATAACAACAGTAAACAGGAATCATTTGTAAAATTAATAAAAGAAAAAAATAGAGATATCACTTTTATTCATAATCATTATCAAATGTGGCTTCAACAGTAAGACTTACTGTAATCACTGCAACCTTACTAGTTCACAATAAAAAAGATTTATTAATATTATTGTTTTTTGATATTTCTTTTGTGTAAGTATATTCTAATGTATATTCTAAATGCAAAGTGACCTTTTCTAAATTTGTAGCAAATGCTAAAAATAATGGCTCTTTTGCAACTATTCAAATTCACATCCATATTCGAAGCATTACTAGTAGTTATAATTTTTTTTTTTTTTTTTTTTTTTTTTTTTAAGGTGACTTCTTGGTCGATT